ATTTACATATTAGATAAACACTTTATTTGTTTTGTTAGTTTATGATTAATATAAATTACATACAAATCATCTCTTTTTTTTTTATATTATCACATTTCGAATTTAATAGTAGCTATTGAACTACAAATTAGACCTTATTCCTCGTGTGAACGATATTCTTAACTCACATATTTATTACTTGTACAACGATCCCGTACGCTTCACGCGAACATCTACAACTATGACATATTCCAACATTCCTTCAGACTATTCTGCGATGAGAATAAAATCAATATAACATACTAAACAAAAATTCTCCAACAAAAACTGTCAACATTTCAGTCATGTAGGTCAATGGCATTCCAAGATATAGGTTTGTTTTAGTTATATTGTATGTAAATAGGAATTCAATAACCCAGCTACATTGAATGAGAAATTACAGATCCATAACGAAATGAATATAGCTGCAATAAAGTTTAGGGGAGCGAACGCAGTGACCAATTTCGAGATGGGTCGTTACGATGTGGAAGCCATTGCCAAGAGTTCCCTTCCTGTTGGTGGGACAACCAAGCGCTTGAAACTCTCACTTGAAGCCAAAGGGAAACCTCCTACTAACGCTAACCTGCAAATACAGTCGAGTAGCAACAGCATCAACTTTGCGCCCCTTTAGCAGCCTGTATCCACCATTCCATGTGGAATACCATTTGATATCAACTTCTTCCACCACCTCCATCCCACAAACACAGGTGTCTCCTGCTGCCCCGACCATGGTAACTCCAATGCCAGCTGATTTTTTTCATATGGCCTCACCAATCCTATTAAGTACTCTACTGATGGTAACCCTTAGGCGCTGTCATTTGCTGTAATTTCTTTTAAGCTAACCTTTATCTAACCCAGAAATATAAGGTACTGTTGATGATATAGGCGTTTCCTCCCCTAAACTTTATTAAATTTCTTGGTGGATATATTATATAATTTATATACCAGTAAATAAGTGGAACACAAATAAGTGGAGAAAGAGAAAAGGAGGAAAATATGATTTGCTCGAAATCTACATGTTTATAACTTCGTTTTTCTTTTTTCAAATAGTAGCTGGTAGCTATGACAGGAAGAGAAGCTGGAGTGGAGCAGAGGAACTTCGAGTACAGTGTGACCTTCAAAATCATCCGGTGGCGGACTAGTACTTGAAATTGCTGCCGAAGGACGCGATGGTACCTCAGAATGACGTGCAATCGGAGATGATGAAATTGTGGCACTTGATTTGGGTGGAATTGATTGTGTGGGTGGTGGGTGTGGATTTGGGGGAAGGGATTGCTGCATTTAGGGAGGGGTTCCAATTTCGATAAATTTAATCTTTTGTTTTTTAAATTGGTTGCCACGTCAGCCGAAGATGGTACCTTAGAATGACGTGCACCCAGAGATGATGAAATTGTGGCGCTTGATTTGTGTTGAATTGATTGTGTGGGTGGTGGGTGTGGATTTGGGGGAAGGAGTGTGGATTTGGGGGAAGGGATCGCTGCATTTGGGGAAGGGTTCCAATTTTGATAAATTTAATCTTTTGTTTTATTATTTTTTAAATTGGTTGCCACGTCAGCCGGGAAATTGCTTGTCAATTAACCTGGGTGTGTAGCACGATTGTTCAAGGTAACATATTACGCTTGTGTTTGATAGCCTTTCTTTTGGCATTTTCCAATAGTATTATATCATTTAAAAGTTCTATATTACAACTTGCACACTAATGTGATAAGATTGAAAAAGGAGGCAAATGACCCACAATTACTGTACAAAATATTGTTTTACTGCCAAAGAAATGATGTCAAATAGGTGGTGAATCTTTGTTTGGTTCAACAACAAATATGGATTAAAAAATTTAGTCAAAATCAATAATTATTGTTAATCACAAATTTCATTGACCTATAACTTTTTAACTGCACATAAATAAAAATTAAGTTTTTATTTAAACCAAACGAGGATTAAATATGCTCCAGAAATGTAAACTAGAAATTTGCTCGATAAACCACATAGTTTAGTGAAAATTGATGCTTGATTAACTAGTTTGTCTCCTTCCTTGATTGAGTAATATTATTATGTAATCCTTATAGAACCATTACCATTAAAAATAAGTGATTATTCCGAATGTGCATGTGAACTTTGACAAATCATACATAATGTATAACTAACTATAACCGCTGGTGCGTTAGTTATAGTATCTTTATGCATTATTAAATCAATTTCTATTTTCTTAATTTAAGATTGTATTTCCTTTTATATATCCTCCTAACCACCTATGTTTACAGAATATGTCAGGATCTTGCTTAGGTATTCTTGAGGATATTTCAACATGTTTTTATATTCTTCTAATCATGGATGAACAAGTAAATTGCATCCAATTTTTCAATCACTAATCTAATTACAAGTGTTGACGCTAAAAAGTGACGTGACACCTTTTTGACGAACTTCAAGGATTTTCGAGCTCAATTGTCCTATAAAACGAAAGAAAATGACAAATCTAGCTAGTCGATCATTGGAAATGTGTTATGTCTTCATTAATTCAAGTATATTTTCCAAGAAACTAGTACCGAATTATATAGATATTCAGAGGTTCAACGTGCTGTAGTTACTTCAATCAATTGTGACTTACCATGGAACTTTTGGCCGTTCACTCCTATTCGTTGTCATCCTCTAGCTCGAGTTGAGATCTTTTGGCTCGGCAATATTAACAGCCCGTTTGACATGGTTTTGGAAAAGTCAAAAGGAAGTTTTGAGATTCAAAATATGTTTCTAAACTCATTTGGCTAATTTTATAAAAACGTTTCTAATAGTTAGAAGAGTTTTTAGAGAAAACTGGTTCAATATGACTTCTAAAATATACTTTTGAAATTGGAAGCTCTTTCAGAAATTAATTTTCAAACAAAAATTAAGATATATTTCTCAAAAAACTCTTCTACAAAAAGCAAAAGTCATGTCAAACAAGCCCTAAATAGTTGATCTTACACGACTATTCACCTATATATATAAAAGGAATCCGAATCATTGTTAAAATTGATTAAAAGCCATACAAATAAATGCGCAGAATGCGGGAGAATGATCAGTTTTGTACCTTTTAACAACCGTGTTGTTGGCCATGTAATGGAATTACCTAAGTGAACACAACTTTCGCCTAAATTAATGGTCAAAGTTTTAGAGACGAGAAAAGAAATCTTGCCCACCCCCCTTTTTGGAAAAGGTATTACATGCTTTATTAGGACTTTAGTTTTGAATCCCCACCCCCCTTTTTCATCTAATTTTTCGTGGACCTATGACCAAGTGATATGGTTAAATTTCTTTTCGTGGATTAGACATTTACTAGTGGAGGGAGGGAAAAGAAGTGGGACTTGAGAAAATATCTATGGAACAAAAAGTAAATTCAATTATTAACCATAACTTTTTTGGGGGTTAAATGCATTGAGGGTCATTGAACTTTGAGTCAGGTTGTATACACGTAATTTATCTTCAATTTGATGTAATCACATCGCTCAAATACAATTTGCTTGTAAATATGATCATTCTATCCACTGCCCGTTACTTAACTAACATAATATGTTGATAGGACGTTAAAGTTAAAGAATAGCCGACATGTACGTTCACATCATACAACGATATACACCACCTATCTTAAAATAATCACTTCTTGAAAAATCATATGAACTAAAAGTACGCTTTTACACGTTAGCTATCCATTAGTTTTGACGTTCATGTTACTTAAATTGACGGCACAAGGACAAAGTGACTAGATTTGCATGCAAATCAAAGTTGAGTGATTGATTGCACCAAATTGAAGATGAGTGACGAGATTTGCAAGAAAATAGAAATTGAGTAACCTGATTGCACCAAATTGAAGATAAGTAACCAAATCTGCAACTCCTCTCAAAATTGATGTAATTTTTATTTTTATTTTTTCAAATGTTTTAATTAATTACTTGACCAGATTCGTTGTTGATTACCTCATTATACACATTTCAACCACTTCAAATTTATAATTCTCATCATATCTAATAAGAAGTTCACTATAGATAAGAATATAGAATCGTTGTAGAATCTTTTGTCGCACTAATTTATTCATGAGAAATTAATTATCACAAAAAGACTGTCAACATTTGCAGTTTCATTCACATTTAAGTCAAAATACATTGCATCTCAAGATTATTTAATTACCAGCGCTTAATCTATGAACGTCAATTATCGAAGAATTTCGACCCTAACTTAAGAGGACACGGATTATGGCACAAACGTATATAGAATAAGGCCATTTTCAACACACATTATAGTAATATTACAAAAAACAAGGTTGTCTACTTAGGTGGAGCATACTTTAAAAGGTTAGTTAGACTAAAAACATTTTTAACTCTTTGAAATGGAATAAAGAAAAAAGTGTAACATGCTCATCAATTAAAAGTAGGTAATGATGAAAATGAAATTATGCTAACATGCTGTGCTTTACTACACTACAAAGAATAGAAGAATCCTTTTCCTTCACAATTCTCTTTATATATATCACACAAGTTCTTGAAACAGTATTATCCCTACTTGTGAAAATGCAAAATCTGCGGCATTTTCCTGTCATAGCATTATCTCTAACTTTCTTTTCAATTCTGGCCTTTTCATTCAGCCAAAACCAGCAATACAATGAAGAAAAGAACTTTGAAGGGTCATCTGATCTTGTGAATCTTGAATACCATATGGGGCCAGTTCTTGCTTCTTCTATCAACCTTTACATAATATGGTATGGCAGGTGGAACGCTAAACATCAATCTACCATAAGGGATTTCGTCTACTCCTTTTCTTCTCCGGCTCAATATCCATCCGTGGCTGATTGGTGGCGCACGGTAAGGCTGTATACTGATCAAACAGGCTCAAATATCACCAATAACATCAATCTCTCTGGTGAATTTTATGACTTTAAGTACTCTCATGGTAGGTATCTTAGTCGATTATCGATGCAATCTGTTATTAAAAATGCGGTTACAGCCTCTCCAGGAACATTACCTCTCAATTATCATAATGGAGTGTATTTGATACTGACGTCTGATGATGTACAAGTTCAAGATTTTTGTAGGGCAGTTTGTGGTTTCCATTATTTCACATTCCCATCTATTGTTGGGGTGACTGTGCCTTATGCATGGATTGGCCATAGTGGTATTCAATGCCCCGGCATGTGTGCCTATCCCTTCGCATGGCCAGCATACTCAGGGAGGCCACCGCCACGCACTAATGGGGGCAACAATATAATGAGTGCGCCCAATGGTGATGTGGGCACAGATGGAATGATCAGTGTGATCGCACATGAATTGGCAGAAGTATCGAGCAATCCGCTCGTTAATGCGTGGTATGCCGGGGACAACCCAATTGCTCCTACTGAAATAGCTGATTTGTGTTTAGGTGTGTATGGGACTGGTGGAGGTGGAGGTTATGTGGGAGTTGTGTACAAGGACTCTTGGGGGAATGGGTATAATTTGAATGGTGTGAAGAGAAGAAAGTTCATGGTGCAATGGGTGTGGAACCCTGTAAAAAGGAGATGCTTTGGTCCCAATGCCTTGGATTAGAAAGTAAGGAGTCATATTGGAATATTGTGTAATTGTTGCTTATTGTTCATTATTTCTCTTCCTAGTGTTCTCTTCTCGTGATAGTTTGGTAACATATATTACATAGTACTAAATAACATTAAATAAAATAATAAATTGAATATTATTTGTTATATTGTTCACTACGATCTACTACTGCAAGCCAAACATGCACGGGGATCTGGAAGCAAACTTTGCTTTAGCCTAAAGGATAAAAAAACAGCAATAAGTGTTCTGAGAATAACAGTAGTCCCCATATTCCAAAAAACAAAAATGGGGTTCACGGGAATATTCTTGTATGTCCTGTTATTCTAGGAAATGTACGAAAATTAAAGCAAATTCACCAGATTTCATCATCAATTCTCCAACTACATATCAAACTTTGGTAAAAAGTGATTTGGGTTACAACAAAAGGAAACACGTTCATGCAACACTCGCTGCATTTGAATTGATAAAATTTGGTCATAAATTCTACAGAACTCCGACGACAGCTTTTACTATACTATGATGCTAAAGGAGTTGTCTGCTCTAAGAAAAAATGAAAGATAAATCAATAAAGGAATGCTAACTTTGCAGCAATAAAGTTGTTCTTTGAAACATGTATAGGGGGCATGGAAGTGGCACAACCTTTCTGACGAAGTGAAAAAAGATGGATACATGCTGATACCGTACAGCAGCTTCATTTGATTGACTCTTGGAGTTTCCAGTTTGGGACACTATTACATCTCCTAGCTTTGATGAGAAGAAAACGTTCCAGAAATACACCTTTGGACAACAATTTGTCAAAAAAGAAGGATCATACTAAGTATTACAACATATCTGAGCAATGTATACAATGCTGGTTTAGAAGCCTGGAAACAAGGCTGTCGGGTTCTGGAATCAGAGCCGAGGTTAAGCTATTCCAGAAATGAAATGTAACTGACTTGTCTAGAATTTTGTTAAACATGAGATCTTGTTCAAGTCTTTCAGTTTCTGTCCGTGGTGCATAGAAGTATCTGTCAATGGAGGATATGATATTAGCAGTCTTTCGGAGATAACAAGAGGCAAGAACTCAAACTCAAGAGTGCATATGCAAGAATACAGAATGGAACCTTCAGCAAAACATTAACCTAAAGAATTTAATGAATGTAAAACAAAGTGTTCTAGTTCAGCTTTAATGCCATTCTCCAATGTTCTGCGGATATGAAAATATTCCAATTCTATTGCATCCAACTGTAACATAATATTACCCCATTTGCAGAAAATAGGTTGTACTCGCCCAAAACTCGGCTTGACACAGATTTCTTTAGAGATATATTGATATGAGTTCCAAGGGTTATACATATTAAAATCATTATTTGCAGATTCAAGAGTTTCCCATTGAAAATTTGGACACTGATCTGAACCTTTGAGTTGTTCTGGACAATAAATACTTCCATGTGCTCGTATTTTAATTTCAAAGTCAAATATACATTTGGTCAAAGAAACGCTTCGTAAAAATTTACTTAATTTTACTAAATTTCTGATATATTTGCTCTCCGACCACCAAAACACTGACTACGTCTCCTAGAATAAAGAAGCACTATGCCAAGCAGAGATCAAAATATACCTTGAAATACTAGTACGATTAATGGGGAAAAAAAGGGATTGCGTCTGCAATTGGAGCTCCATCTTCCCTTCAGAAATATCCTTGTTGCTCAAAAATTTGTCAGCCACTCTAGTCAAAAGATCAGCTCCGTTCAATCTCAAGCGGGTGTCATCATATGATCCATAAAACTCAATTAAGCACTCCATAACGAAAGGACTGCAGAGAATATGACATGAGTTAGTATTGGGGCACAGGAAGTTTCTAATTGTTGTGCAATTGCCCTTACAAAATTTTAATTTTCTAGGAAATTGGTGAGAACATAAACTTTACCCTCCCAAACTTGCCAAAATTCAAATTTAAGCAGCCCCACCAAAAAGAAAGAGAAAAAAACACAGCAAAATTTGCCAATTCATGACGCCTCCCCTGGCCATAAGTTCAGCTTCACTTACTACATCTATTTTGCTTCTAAGCTGTCCAATACATATATTTTGCTTCTAAGTTGTCCAAAATAAGCTGGTCTTACAAAATACCAATGGCATTTCCTGCCAAATTTATTGGTTGTTCATACTTAACAAGGACATTTAGAGCATGTTCGAGAATGATTTTTCGATAATCATTTTTCCCCAAATCATTTTAACCACACATTCTACGTGACACATAACCATTCCCTACTTTTTAACCACACAATCTTCCATATTGCTCACACAGAACTCCAGAGAGAAGATCTTTGATTACATTAAGAGACGTCGTTTCAGAAAAGCATATCACGCATTAAATTTATTTAAAAACAATTGATGATTGCTAGTCCTAATGCACAAATCTTGTGAAAGACGACAACAACTCAGAAAAAAAAAATTCCTGTTCTTTTCTCCCCACATTTAAGGAGTAAAAGGGTGAAAAGGGTATATAAATTAAAAGCCAACGAATATCCCAACTTCCAATGACATTGGTTTCTCAGTAAAGAATGGTTTAAGAGAAATGAACTATTATATAACTGTAAGCATGAATAAGACTCATAAGCAAAAACACCAAGGGAAAAAATCAAGAAAAAAAATGCCGCAGGAAAATAAGAAAAAAATAAGGGAAAGAGAAAAGTGCATGCTAGTGCCATCTGCAGCAGATAAGAAATGCTAATGACGGTGTATTTCATGATATTTTCGTATGATGTTTTTTTCATTTTCCCCATTACTCAACTATCACAATGAAGGCATACTCATTGAGCAACTTGAGGGGGGAAGGGAAAAAAAAAAAAAAAATTGGGAGACCCAAAACTATACATATGTAATTGTGATAGTAGCATGCACACATAGGAGCAATTTCCGTTACAGTGGCCTAGAAAAAATATTTAACCAACACGGGAAGCAGATTTCAAGTTTTAAGTACCTGTGCTTTCTAAATGCCATCACAGCACCATTCAATGTTCTTCCAGCAAGCTCATCCTCCATACCGACTGTATTATTGAGTGAAGACAACGGCTTCAGTACTATGATGTCAGAATCAAGATAGATTCCACCATATCTAGAGAATACAAGAACTGATCAATGACAAACACATACAAAGTAATCAATTCAATACAGCTAAAAAAAATTCACCACCACATGTTTCTCGTCCCAAATGGACCTTTTTATATTAAGGAGTTAATAATTTGATGAATATTTCGTCTTTCTAAGTTTACCTCATAGTCATAGTAAACTATTTTTGTACACAAAGTACCCATAAATAGTTTGATATCTCCCACCCTGTGACTAATCAAACCTTAGTGCAAGAAACACTCACATTGAAGTATTTAATGAAATATTTAATATCTAGTAACAATACTCCTATATCTCTGGAAAATTAAAATGAAGTACTTGGCCTCAAAGTTGAAATTTCATCTCATGTTAAATTCACATATTCCCTGCATCATAGACGTAAGTAAAAGCTTGTATGGGAAGTGTTTATAAATAGATAGAAATGAACGGTAGATGGGTGGGTAGACCTTGTGGGACCCATGTAATGTGTGATAAATAGAAGGTTTGAATGTTTATAAACATGTGCCAAACATAGGATAGAAAGAGAAGATAACATTCTTCACTTGCTTACTTGTAGAGAGCGGCAAGCCTGACAAGTTCACTGTAGTGAGTCGGATAGTACTTGGTCTTCTTCCATTCATGCCAGACAGAAGCAAATATGTGTGTCGGGGTATCCTTGAGCAATTCATCCAGATTTGGCATCACAACAGCGACCTTAAATCTGGAAAAAGCACAACAATCTATACTCCTCAAATTCGTTCACTTCATATTATTCAAAAGCAGATCATAAGTTTGGAACCTATTAAACAAACTGAATACCAGACACAAACACACATCAAAGGCTTATCTTTTGTGAAACAAGAATGAACAGATTGCACATAGCAATGATTTATTGCCCTTATTCATCCTCTTCATATCAACCAAAATTAAGATTATCACACATCAGAATAAAAAATCCTACATGATTGAAACCTGCTACACAGACTGACAATGCCATAGCAACACATACATTGTCCACATAGTAATATCAAAGGTTCATGGTTCGGCAGAAAACTGAAAAGCATAGGCAATTGCTTAAATATGCAAACCCTTACATGGAAACATAGATTTGAAGATCTAAAGACAAAATGTACAATCTTAAATGGAGAAATGAAGGAAACATATTCAAGAAATTACCCATCTTTCAGAAAGCCACTGAAGAAATTCAGCTCAATTGTCTCAGAGAGCACCACCACACAGGCATTTCTGTTGTGATAAAGAAGACTCTCCAATCCTCTCTGCTGCCGAACACCAAACATCCAAGCCGGCGAATTCCAGACCATAAAAATCTTCATCGTACACCTCCCTCTCCTGAAAAATTCCTCCATAAAATCTCCGAAGGACAACCTCCCGTCCAACCCCGGATAATACCCCCACCTCTTTCCGTCCGCATAAAGCACTTTCTCTAAACCCTCAAGATTCTTCACACCGCTACCATTATTTTTACCCAAAGTCTTTCTCTCCACCCTCCTCATTTCCCTGCCATCACTATTAAAATTTTCACCTGAATCTCCCTTTCTTGAATCAGAAATTGACAGAGGCTTCTTAATCAAGAATGGAATTTTCTTAAATTCGTTTAAAATGCTCTTTTGAATAATTTTATCGCCTCTAGTCAATACTGTAACTCCCACCCCATCAGGATCCTGCAAAATTGGATTATTCATAGGATTTAAAACCTCGATATTTGACTTGAACATCCGATCTCTCCTCAAGAAATCACCCTTCTTATCAAACCATTCCCCCCATCCTTCCCTTAAAACCGATCCCTTCAACAACAAAGCATCCTCCATTTTTTTAACTTCACTCAATTTATTACGCAATTTTTCATCCACTAAAATGTCGTCAGACCCATAGACAGCCTTAGAATTATCACTGTCCAGCCCTAAATCTGACCTAAGTTTTGAATTGAACGGAACATAGTCTTCCCATTCTTCAATTGAACGTTTGTTGTAGGATCTCCGTACAACACCCGTTACGGGGTCGAAGAAGTAATTAGAAGAGACCTCAGGGTTCTGATTTTGATTGCTTTCTTCATCTTCATCTTCTTGTTCTGCTTCATCGTTATGGTTGTTAATGTTGATGTCTAAAGCGGCATCGTCGAGCTCGTCGATTCGATCGTCATTGGAATTTGAGGCGGTAAGGGAGTAGGAATCTAGGTCATCGAGGAAGGGGTTCAAGGAGAGGGAGTCTTGGGAGAGAGGGAGGTGTTGGGGGTGGGAGTTGAAGAAGGTGAGGCGGCTGTGGAGGAGCGAAACAGATAAGAGGAGAAGGATGGCGGCGAGTAAGGCACAGATGTGGGCGCCATAGCGGGGCCGCCGCCGTGTGCGGAGGTGCCGTAGCATGTGATCGTGGTGTGGAATGTACAGTGGGGGAGTGTTTTTGAGCTTTCTAACCGTTAACGGTAACGGGACACCTGATAAATAACACCGGACGCGTGTGTTCAAGTTGTTCGTAGAAATGAAAATAAAAAATGATTTGAAAGTTTATAAATAATTTACAAAAAATTATCTAAATAGGTATTTATTTTTATTATGCTGGCTGATATGCCTGTGAACTTTGAAGACACGCTTGAACTGTAACAATTGAAAAACAAGTGTAGATGAGGACATCTGCAAGTTTATCAGCGGAGGCAATGGGAGATATGGAGTTAAATCACTTTGAACTTTATTATGCTTAATTCGAGTGTGTAAAATTGGATTAGAAAAGAAAAAAAAAAAGACAACATGAGCTCCAACACAAGTTCAATCTGTTAACCTATAGTGGATATCATGTTTTGATTATAACAAATAAATTGTTTTATCTCTAACAATTGAATTCAATTTTTCACAGTTATTGTGGCCAAAATTGATAAATTGAAGACAAAAAGATTGCTATCAAAAGACTGACAACTTACGATTAAGGAAAATCGAAATGAAAGCCTAACTGTCATGTCAAATCATTCGAAGCATTCACGTCGAATCAAGCACTCAATGAAGATATTAGATTTAGATGCTTTGAATCTATATGTAAAATGCTTTAATACTTAACAATAAATTACTGAAAGCTCATAAGTTAAATTTTTATACACGAGATAAATTATTCATAAAAACTCTCGCATAAAAATTATTTTCGGGGTGATAAAATCTTCACTTGATTTTTAAATCTTTTATCAATAACACTCATTTCGAAAACTTAAGCGAGTATATTCTTCAAAAGCCTACACTTGTTAAAATAATCAAGAAAGAAAAATTCGGAAAAATTATGTCCTAGCGGACGTCTAGTTTGTCCAACGGTCAAATTTTTAATCGTTATAATTTCTGACGCACAACGGTTAGTGAGTCGTTCGGTTCAATAGGCGGACGTCTGGTTTGGTCGTCCGTTTGATCAGAAATTTTGACGTTTTGACTGCTATAAATACCACTTCACTTTGCATTCAATATAATACTTTTAAGAGCTTTTATGTGAGATATTCTTGAACAAAGCTACATTAATTTATCCTTTTCAAATCATTTACTTCGAAAAACTTTTGATTGAATTAACTTTTAAAAATCATTTTACTCATCAAAGTTTTTCTCACCTAACACTTGAATTTCATTAATTACTATTTATTAAAGTGTTAGCCTATTTTTCTCTTGATATTTGATTTGAACATATCTTTTATTAATACAGAAGTTTCAAATTGTAAAATCATTTTCCTATTAATTTTGTGGGTCGTGTTGAAATCTCATAAAGCTCAACATTGTATAAGGATCGATACTTTTTAGTTATAAGTCATCGGAAACTTTGTAAATGGTTGGATTGCACCATAAGTCAATTAATATAGTAAAGAAGGCATTACTCGTGTCAGAGAGTTTGGTAATGGAAAACATAGTATTTTGTATTGAACCTCCATAATTATATCATTTGCATCATCTCCCTCCCTTCCTTCTGCTCTCTCTCTCTCTTATTGTATTTGCTATTTGAATTTATCTATTTGATCCTTACTTACTTGTATTTATATTAATTTTTCAAAAAATTTTAAATAACTAATTCACACCTCTCTTGGTTAGCCATCTTGGGCCTTCACGATCATCGGTATTTCATGCCCAATTGGTAAGAATGACAATGGGACAAGTTAGAACAGTTAATGACATGGAAAGGAGTACAATTAGTCATTTCACCTTACCATAATCTCTCTAAGAAGAAGCACTATAGATTACAACTTAAATTCTCAATAAAATTTTAAGTAAAGCAATTGTCAAAACCTATTATGAGCTTTGGATAGGCAAAAAGCCTAATTTGATGCATTTACACATTTGGGGGTGTTCAACTCAGGCAAGGCCTTATAGGCTAAATAAAAGGAAACTAGACCCCAGAACCGTCAGTTGCTATTGGATACTCTGAGAGGTTAAGGGATTACAAATTTTTAAGATCCCACTATGATGTCAATTTTCGAAATGAGAAATGTTCGATTCCTTGATGATATGGAGTTTGTAAGGATACAAGGTTTAAGGTTATGAATTTTGTCTTTGAGAAAGATATGTATATATTTCTTCTATTACAATTGACAATAATCAGGATTATGGACAAATTCTTGCTCCAGATCTTGTTCAATGAATAATTTTGGATCAAGTCAATATTGCAAAACCTCATATACGCAATCAAGAGATTGTTCCAAAAGAACGAACTCAACAAACTCAATAATAGATATCATTAAGAAGATCCACCGGAGAGAAGAAAGGAAATTCCGGATGACTTTATAAAGTAAGGATGTTATTGGATTGGTGAAAGAAGATCCAAACAACTTTCATCAGATAATGCAAATGAATAATTTTCAAGAGTTGATTGATGCCATGAATAAAGAGATAAAGTCCATGAAAGATAATAACATTTGGGAACTCATCCTACAAAGCCCATTGGTTGTAAATTGATATTTAAAACCAAGAGGGATTCAAAGGGTAATAAGGTAGGGTCAGTTAAAAATAAGCATGTTTGGATCACATTACATATAATTTCCATACTACACATCCATATGTAATGTATGTCATTTAGTTGTGTTGCTATGCATCACCATTGATGGTTTACTTATGATACTTGTAATGAAAACCACTTTGATCCTATATTAATATAATTAATGCATAATATTGTTTGAAAATGCTTTTGGTTATGATAACAAAAGTTTTGAACTCATAAATTTGTGCACATTTATAAGGTAACATATGCGACCTAAGTGGGAGATTGTTGGGAAAAATAATTTGTCATGTGGACCTACATATATAATTAATTGTGTATAAATGCTATCTTAAAATTAAACCCCGTTTAAAGTGATCTAATAATGAATTAAAGTTATTGGATTTTAAGTATCTAAATAAAGTATGAGCCTAAATATGTGCAGAGATTGTATCCATTAGAGTTGTATTTCATGATGAGCCGAAATACTTATGAAAACAATAAATAGGATTATGGTCTCCAATTCATATAGATTTCTCATTTTTTTGTCACATCCCATTAACATAATAATACAAAAGAAAACATATTGAAGAAGAAGATTCAAAAATCCATAATCAAGATCAACAATCAAGAATCTAGAAAAAGGATTGAAACAATCAAGATTAAAGAGCAAGAAGTCAATATTAAAGAGATTGTAGGTTGATCTTCAAAATTTAAAGTCATGAATCAAAGTACGTTCCATTTTAATTAATTCTCTTGCTGATTTGACATAAAGATCTTGACAATATCTGAAGCTTCATAAAATTTAAGTTTTATAAATATTCAACGTGATTTTCTTTTTTTATTCATGATGTCCAATTTGTATTTTTTTTCCTCAACTAAAGGTGATTTATTCCATTAAGTAAAATATGTGCAAAATGTAAATCTGCAAAAACACTTGTAAAGTTTAATTTTATCAATTAGTAAAAAAGGCAATTTCGAGTCAACTTTCTTCTCTCTTTTTATCATTCTTTTTGTTTAGATCGTTAAATCTAAATCAACGATTTAGTTTTTCTTTTTCTTTTTTTTAATCGATTATTTTTCTTACTCTTGGACATGGTGCTCGACATTGTGCATTATTACATGTTGACGCATTCATGAGGCATAACTTGTGTTGTGAGCTTAACTTATGGGCTTGAAAAGGACAAAGACATGTCTGAAAAAATTAGGCCCAGTTTGATTTGTTAAAGGAAAGATTACATATTCAAGATAATAAGTTTACCATATTTCAAAAATAAGAAAATATGCCATGAATAAAGAGATAAAGTCTATGAAAGATAATAACATTTGGGAACTCATCCTACAAAGCCCATTCGTTGTAAATTGATATTTAAAATCAAGAGGGATTCAAAGGGTAATGCGGAGAGATATAAAGTTCGTCTTATTGCAAATGACTTTACTCAAGAGGAAGATATTGACTTTAAAGAGTCTTTCTCTACGGTTTCTACGAAAGAATCTTTTAAGACTTTTATGACACTTGTGACACATTTTGATCTCGAGCTACATTAGATGGTTTACAAATTAAAAAAAAAATCAATTTGTGGGCTTAACTAGGCTTCCCGTCAATGGTATCACAAATTTCATCAAATAATTATCTCATTTGATTTTGAAATGAGTGCAAGTGATGGTTTTGTATATCACAAGTTTAATGGGAGTAATGATATTTTTTTGGTATTGTATGTCAATTATATAATGCTTCCTGTAATGATATAAACTTATTGTACGAAAATAAGAGATTCCTGTCATGAAATTTTGAAATGAAAGATTTTGGTTACGCATTTTTTGTGTTAGGTATACAGATAGGGGTAACATAAAAGGGCGATATCAATAAGGTTTTTAAAAGACCTAGGATGTAGGAATGTAAAATAGATGATACTCATATTGTTAAGGGAGACAAGTTTAGTCTTAATCAATGCCCTAAGGATAAAATTAAAGAAAATGAAATGCAGAAAATTTCATATGTTTCAATAGTTGGGAGTTTAATGTATACTCACGTTTGCACATGTCTAGATATATCATTTATTATTGGAATGCTGGGCAGACACTTAAGTAACTCTAGGATGGATATTTGGAAAGCAATCAAGCAAGTTATCCGATATTTATAGAGAACAAAAGATAACATGCTCACATAAATGGAATCAGACAAATTTGAGATATTTGGTTATTCTGATTATGGTTTTGTTGGATGCCAAGACGTAGGAGAACCACATCATGCTATGTCTTCCTACTGGCTGGAGGACCTATATCCTGGAAGAATAATAAGCAGACATTCATAGCTTCTTCAACCATTGCAATGGAGTTTGTAACATGTTATGAGGCGTCCAATTAAAGAATATGGCTGCGAAATTTTGTCACTATGCTTTGGATTCTGGATGGAATTGAAAGATCACCTAAT